GGTCGACTACAAACATGACGTATCATCTGAAACATGGAAGTAGCTACATGCCCATTAGCCCACAGCGTCATTAACAGGCGGCTCGCTCAGTGTGTGACATGCACTTGTAGATAAAATATAGGCCTATATTAATGAAGGTTCATTAGTATGGTTTTGTATTTCTCTGTAATGTAGCACAGTGTTAACAATGTTACTGATACTATTCTTTCTCACACCTTCAACTCAAACCACCAGAATATATATCATTTAATAGTTAAACTAATATCAGAAACATGCGGGCGACTGATCGACTAATGGCCCTAAATGACGACTATTGGTCAACTAGGAAAATTCTTAGTCGGGCAGCTCTAGACAGAGAGAGCTATAGAGCTGCCGGTCGCAGCTACAAGTTCAATGCTTCATTTATTTGACAAAGAATTAACTTTATAAATCGCTGACGTAATCTCAGTTGCAGCAAAAAGATGTCATACCCAACATCTCTCCGTGTTTTTCCTCGAATTAGACCATGCCAAGTGATTTCCCTTAAATATTAACTCATTATCTAATTACATTTCCTGGATTCGTCCCTTTGTCCACTTGAGGTCATCTTACACAAGCTTTTATCTGCATGGCGACAATCTTGAGTCTTTTATTGGAGCCATAGAAAGATTGCTAATAATCCTTAATTCTCAAACAACTGCAGTTATCAGGAAATAGTCCAATTTCTAATTACCTTATCACAGTGCAGGCTGCAGCCAACTACACCGTGGAGGAGAGGTTTACACAAGCTGAGTTGTGTAAGGCGTGTAGTGTGTGACATCAAACTTATCAGTCCTCCAATTTTATTGTTATTGTACAGCAATTAAGTCAGATATCGCTGAGGTCATTTAGGTACTTCTCAGAGACTCAGGGACGGTTTACCCATGTAACCAGCAGTAGGTCAACAACATCAAATACATGATGATAATGATTACCAGCTTCACTTAGTGATAACTGCTCGATTACATGATGATAAACAAAGAGTCTGACTGTAGCTGAGTGATTTCCTTTAAACCATTCTCAACAGTCTATCCATCAATCAGAGAGAAGTGGAATTTCCTTTTTATAAACCACAAAGCAGCATCAGTTAAGGGGCGCAGTATTGAGGCACGTTACAAAGACCTCATACACGTATCTAAATACATGAATAATGCATTAACACAGCTGTATCAGTTGGAGGTAAACTCAGCCACCTTTCACCCACCTCCAGTGGGAGATTCTTCGGTCTGTGTTTTAAAATAGATAAAAGTGTGCACTCGATAAGAACACGTCCGTGATACGTAATCAGCCCACCTCTGCTCGAAATAAGCACATCGGAACTCAAGGACACTGACGACAGCCCTGTGCAAACAATCCACTGTCACCTGTGGTATTTTTAGTTTGGTTGTTTGCAGTATTATTTCACTACTTTCACTTTCAATACTGCATTACATTTAATATAATAACATCACTTTTGATACTTAGGTACAGTAAATATCAGATACTTTAAGACTTCTACTAAAGTAATACTCTACTAGGTGACTTTAACGTCTACCAGAGTCATTTTCTGGTGAGAAATCTATACTTTAACCCAAGTTTGGCTTTCAGGTACTTCATCCACCACTGATTATTTCACACAAGTGAAACAAAAAGCACATTTTCTAAGCGTTAACTGTTGAGTTATGTCTTGTCGCCTAAACACCAAGAAATTGTTTTCATTGTTATGATTAGAGGCTGATTGATTTGCGCATGTGACTGATGAACCGGCACAAATAGGATGTTTTACAAATTAGCGTTAGCGGCAGCACTTGGATAGTGGGCGATGGCAGTGCAGCCTCTTGTGTTCATGTTTTAAGGAGTTAAACTGATTGATTTTTTTGTAGGTGGCTGAAATACAATTTGCTGCCCCGCTCCACAGCAGTACGTTGCTTAGCTTGTGGTGTTACTCCAGCCTGCTTCTCCAAACTAGGGGCGTGTCGACTGTCATCTACTTTATGTAACAAACTGACTATGGATAAGCACCTCACACAACCCTACTTAAAAATATCCCAACTATTCTTAACAGAAATCATGACCATGCATCCACAGCTTAAATTAAGAGGGAACTTGAAAGACGAACTGGTTGGTTTCATTATGAAAAATAAACATCTGACTTGGCGTCACCAAAAATATTTTAGTTAAGTTTGTTTGTAAATCCCAGATGTAACCACTGAGGTGTGCAGGGAGTCAACAGTGTGTGTGTGTGTGTGTGTGTGTGCACTCACTGGGTGGATGTCTATAAAGAGGCCGTGCTCTTCCTCTGATGGACGGAGGCCCTGCACGAAGTCCAGCAGCACCGGATCAGCGTTAAAGAAGTGAGGATGAGAGATGAAGACTGGAGAGTCTGCAAAGTGAAAAAGACATGTTGCAATTATTCAGCTCAACCACAATTCTTTCCACAGTGAAAGAGTTCAAATGAAGCACCAAGTGTTCGTCAATATAGTATGGAAGAATTAATTATCTCTGCCAAGGCGAATCTCACAAACTACTGGACCAATCAGCCTAATACTTTTGGGCACATTTATGACTGTATGCTCAAGGACTTTTTGTGGTTGCGATGATTTACAACTGTTGAAAACCTGTTGTATTGACTGTTTTATTCAGTCAATGACTGCTGACTCGTGTGAGTGAAGTGAGGCTTTCTGGAAATTGTCTTGGCTAAAAACAACAAGCCTCACCATCTGCTGACAGGCCACATTTTGACCTTTATTGTGGCTTCAAAACTGACGTTCAAGAAAAGTTTGGTCTCATTTTGAACCAGTAAATCTGCATATTCCATATTCCATATCCGATATGTCATGATCCACTGAAGTTAGGGAGGATATAAGATGAGCTAGTCCCATGGATGAATTAAGAGAGGAGATACAGCTTTGAACTGAGGACCCTGTTCATTCCTGTGAGAGTTGCTCAGCGGTGCATGAAGCCAAAATATTTCAAATGCAGAGTTTAAAATTAGCTGGGGGATCCAGGGTTGATCAACACTACTTCCACACTGTGTTGCCCATAGAGCAGGCCCACTAGAGACTCACAGCAGCCTAGCGTCCTGATAATTTCCAGTTTAGCACTCTGCTATCTTGAATGAGGATAAAATATTTAATAGCGCTGCTCTTCTAGACTTTCGAAATGTAATCGGACCATTAATGGATCAAATCCTGAGAGTGAAACGAGTTACTGACACTCAAAAAAATGTTATCCACTGAATTATAGACGTTTGTTTTGCCATGTAAGTCAATAGAAAAAGTCTTTTTGGGCCACAGGGCATGACATGATGGATCCCGGAAATAGTACCACTGTTTGGCTACTACGAAAATTGGCTTCAAAGACGAGTGTTTCACTTGCGGGATTTTGTAGACTTGCAGATTTTGTTGATTTGGTTATTTTACCTTGATATTTGTGTGCTTCTATTATCAGTAAATAAGCACAAATATCAAGGTAATTACTACGGTTATAATAATCCCATTAAAAGTCCAGCTACGAACGACATGATCAAAGATTTGTGGCTGTGTTATAGTTATTAAAAATACCGTGGCTCTGTCAAAAAAGCATATATTTTTATTTGCTTCTGAGACACTTCTGAATCGTGCATCTGGGGGAGATCTGCACTCCACTTAGTGCACTTTTCTAGTTCACTTTATTTTTTGTTGGTACTTTTCTCAAAATCTCTGTCTAAATCGGAGGGTGTAAATAAATTTCTGCTACATTAAATTATGGTTTTTAGGCTTTTACTTTATCCTTGCTTGTAAATTAACAGATTATTCAACTTCTTAATGTCTCTAAAAAATAAATAATCAAGTAAAAGAAAAACTAAACAAGTTTGGAACCAAAGGCCTACAGAATTCAGATGGAGTGAATATTTATGTCACCTTCAGTGACACCATTTTCATTTTTGAGTTTCTTTTATGCAAAGCAGAGTCTGCCTGACATCACATCATCTGCTACAAAGTGTGACCTTGAGAATTAATACAGACGTGTCCATGTTCACTCACTGTGTCTGCAGCTGCTGACGTTGAGCAGACCGGACTGTCTACAGGGGCAGAAGCCTTCATTAGGTTGGTAATCTGTCCCGTTGGCGAACAAGGTCTTGGGTGCAACGTATCGATACAGAGGGATACCCTTCATCACTCCATCACGCTGGTAAACAAGCTCCATAGATCTGAAAAAAAAAACATGTGAGTCATAAGTATGCAAAAAGAATTGTTGGAAAATAAACTGAGAAAGAGTGAAAAGACTTTTACCTGCAGGCGTCGGGGCTGTAGAAGGGTAAAGTGCTCTCTCTGGTCATGAAGGGAGGCCACATCTGTCCAGCTGTTCCATTGATCATGTTACACTGAGGAGTCCTCCAGTAGGGCAGCTATCAACAGAGATGACAGTCAGGTGGGTGCGAAAGACACATAAAAACTGAAGATGTCATGTTGACGTCTCACCTCCGTCAGGCCGTTCCAGGAGTCAACTTTGTGGACTTTCCTGATGTCGTCTTGTCCGGTGTGGATGGTGAACAGGCCGGTGTTGGAGTTGTTGAACTAAATCAGAGATAAAGCTGTTATCAGCGTGAGCTTGTTAATGCTTTGTCTGACAAAGAGTCCAAATCCCAAAGATAGTCAATTTACAATCAAGTAAACAGGAATAAAGCAACAAATCATCACATTTCAGAGAGCTGAATAAGCGAACACTTCAGCAATGTTGCTTTGGAAATCACTCACTGATTAATTAAATCATGTTTTCAGCAATACTGCTCAGAGTGAGCTGCAAAGTGCTTCAGGAAAAAAGTTGAACCTGGCTCAACTTCTGCTGCAACTCATTCAGGACTGGAGATCCAGCCTGCAGCCAGATGTTAGTAATATATACAGTTGGCTGCTACATTTGCTTTACTCAGCAGCCAAGAAACAAAAAACAGTGGTATTCTATAGGGTGGCTGGTATCTTTTGGAATCCTTGCTGCACAAAAAAGTTAATTTCCTAATGTTATCTGGCAATATTATATCAGATCCATGTAAGCGCACATTTCTGCTTGATTACAACATAACGTTAACACAGAGTTCAGAGTTTTATTTTTTTATGAGTATGTTTGCACAATGCACATAAAAGGAATAGATATTAACTTCACTCTCGTGCAGTTTACTGTCACCAAAATCAACTCACACGTCATTGCTGTGAGGAGAAGTACTTTGTCTGCAACGGAGTGTAGGTGTGGGGAACGTGTCGGGTGGCATCCACATGAAAGCCAGGACCCAAGGTTTCCCAGCAGAACATTGCATTGTAATGAAATCATCAAAATTACTCACTTAACTAGTCAGTGGTTTCATTGTTTTTGCTGATCAATGTTTGTTTCCACACACTTAAAACGTGAGAAAGACCTCAAGGCTTCAACCTGGCCTCCAAATTCTCAAGATCCCAATCACATTAAACGTCCGTGGGACATGCTGGAACAAGTCTAGTCCATGGAGGCCTCGCAACTCACAGGACTCAAAGGATCCACTGCCAACGCCTCAGCACTCAACACCGCAGGACACACTCAGAGATCCTGTGTCCATGCTTAGACAGGCCAGAGCTGAGTTCGATTCAAGGAGGCCCCACCATGTGTACAAGCAGATCCCGTGGATGCTCTATCGGAATGGAATCTGGGAAATTTGATGGCCAGGATGAGCTCTTTTCCACATTCCTCAGACCATTCCTGAGCAGTTGTTGGGGTGCAGCATGGCTCATTGTCCTGCTGGGGGGCGTGGGTGGTGATCAATGTTCACTTCACCTGTCAGTGGTTTAAAATTAATCACACACCTGTTGAAACGTGAGAAAGAACTCAAGACATTGACGCAGCCTCCAAATTCCCTATATCCTCATCAAAGCTGACATCCAAAGGACATGCCAGAACAGATTTTTTTTTTGTTTTGTTTTTCAATTTAGTTAGAGTGCCATGTAGGCTACTTCTGGGGACGTTTTGGTCCTCAGATTTAACTGGAGAGTGAGCGCTCCTCACTTATGTGCTGCTCTTCAGTACAGGTAGCTGAGGACAAAGAGGCAGCTACCCGGAGAAGTAGTGAATTTACTTAATACCATATAGTCTCTGGCTTTTGTTTGATATCTATCTAGCTGTCGCTGCACATTTCCGTTCCGTCGTTACCACAGTTAGCTGGTTTACGATATTACATGAATGTCAGTGTGACACTGAACATCCCGCTGAACCCCCTTCAAACTTTCAAACTCTATATGGAAAAAAGGAACGAGCGATCAAATATTCATATTGAGCAACCAAATCTAATTAGACTAGCATAATTTAGACAATCTAGCCATACTTTTTGTTCCTCTTTGGCAGATTTGGCAACGTCTTTCCCAGTGCATTGTGTTGATTAGACGCAGTGCCGTTACATCGATGTAATGCAGGAAGTACAGCACAAAAAAAAGGTTCTTCCATTAAGACACCCGTAAGATTTGTCTAGAGCTGGAGGCGGGACAAAATTTGATGGAAGCAACTGCCTGCAGGTCAGGGAGTGTAGTTGGATGTTTGATGTCTGAGTCGGAGCAGGCGAGAGGTATGAAAGTGGAATTATCAAACCTGCAGTAAAACACCTTTAGGTCATCCTTGGACGTGTCTCCACAGAGCGAGGGACTGTTCCCTGTAGCTGCTGATGTCCTGCAGGTTCGTCAACACTGACATCAGGTCGCTGGGTGAGAAACTTCAGCTTTTCAGAAAAGCCCGTCTATGCTACCCTGATCTCCTGTGTGTTTCTGGTCTGGTTGGTTGTACAGGAGTCTGGAGTCTGGAGGTTTGTTCTGCCAAAGTCCCTAAAAACAATGAGCAGGGAGTCTGGATATTTTTTCCTCCAAGATAGTAATCTGGTGTTTGAAACGCCTCTGCCTGGGGGAGAATGTAAATAAACAAGGAAAACTCCTGCGGTGAACACAACGCTTACAGTCAATTAAAAGAGACTCCGTGTTGGGACTGCATGATCTCTCGAACTCTCTGACATCTGTACACTCATTTTTCTTGATAGCCCTGTTGCACGGTTGGCTCAGAGGGGGAGCAGATGGAGTGAAGCATCTGTGTCCAGGTGTCAGTGAAGCACAGTGCAGCAGACATGCAAAAGTCAATGCTGGCTCTGATGAGAAGCAACAGAGAGCCAGAGAGCAGATGTTCCCTCGATGTATGGAAGGGAGTGCATTAAAATCACTGCTGTCAGAGTTCAACAAGCACTCTGGCTGGTTTTCTGCTCCTGCTTCTCCTGCTAATATTCTCCTGTCCATATAGAGCTGCTTCTTCCTCGACTCAAAGCTCGCCAGTTCATGAAAGTCGGTGAAAAAGTTTGACAAGCAAGTCGAAGGGTGGTGAATGTCAAAGACGGAGAGCGGAAAACTAGACAAATAAAAGAAGAGAACGTGTGACAGAGCACAGCACTGAGGCTGCCATCCAGGGTGCCATCTTTCAAAGTCAAAAAAGTGAGTAAAGGTAAACGTGCGTGCCGATAAACTCTGTTGCTGACCATAGATTTATATAAAAGGAGTGAATATGGCACCGTGATGTCACCCTCTGGTTTGTGGATTCCCATTATAAAGCCTTGAGTTTGACATCTTGGCTTTTTGGAGCCAGAAGTGACCATATTTGGACACGGGGGTGGAGCTGTGGAGGAATGATGGGTGGATGTGACTGAGAACCTGAGAACACTGCTGTGGTAGCGACTTGTACATCACAAGGTAGCCACGCTCTAAAGCATCCCCTGCTTCATGTCTATTTACCTCTAAATAGGACTGTAATTTAAAGAATAAACATCATGCTGTGTTGAAGAAGACTTGAAACTAGTGATTGAGACCATTAACTCATTAGGAAAGTGTTAACTGAGGTAATAAATCAAGTGAGAAGTTGGCTCATTTTCTTAGAGGCTTCTATTGAATCTGACTTTCATCAAAAGCCTCGCCCCCTGCTGGCCATTAGAAAGACTGCAGGTTTAAGGCTTCACTTCTTGGAGCTAAAGGCTCCATCCTAGTTTGGGGCCGTTTAGTGGCTGTTTTGATAAGCAACCTGAACCAGGGCGAGAGAGACAGGATCCGGAATTCGATGGATGCGCCTTTCCATCAAAATAAAAGCACCAAGCTGATAAAAATGCGGTGAAACTTTTTAATTTAAAGAATATAATTTACAAGAAAAGCCCCAAGCCATTAAGTTAACCTTTTTCTTTTATTGTATTTAATTGTATTACACGTTATTGTCTATTTCAGTTTTTTATTTAATAGGCACTTGATCCTAGTTTTGTTCATTATACCTGTAGTTTGTAAATGCATTTTTTTGATAGAGTTTGGGGCGGTGGGGGCGGACGAGAGAGGAAAACTGTGTGATGCTCGCCATGCAGCATGCTCTATCAACCAAGTTTCTTGAAGAACCTCTTCTAAAACAGACTGCTGTACATCCATGTTTAAATGATTAAAATGTATCGATCGTGGCGACAGTCTTCACTCTTCTTTCTTTTCCGATTCAACTTTCCAATGTGGAGAAACCGGAGACGGAAATCGATGGTGCACCAGAATTTAAAGTTTTACTTTGGTGAACACTTTTACTTTGGTGAGTTTGGTGAATTCTGGATCCGCTCTCTAGACCGGAACCAGAATCCAGACAAAATTCAGAGTGAATGGAAACCAGGCTCTTCGCTGTACGTGAAGAGCCTGGTGACGCGAGGCTACGCCATCCACTTCTTTCATTCAGTCTGTGGTGCTGAGAGGATGTCCCAAACTGTATGTACTGTATATACTACGGGACAGGACAGGACACCAGGGCTGTTTATAGGTTAAAATATTATGATACCGCCACCCTTAAAGTGATACCGATACTAAAATTTTGGTGGCATTGCAGAACAAGAGCTGTCAACTCCATCAAATACAGCGCCTTGCAAAAGTATTCACCCCCCTAGGAATTTTTCACGTTTTAAAACCTCACAACCTGGAATTAAAATGTATTGTTTGAGCATTTGCATCATTTCATGTACAGAACATGCCAACAACTTTGAAGATGTGAAAAAAATTTTTTATTGTGAAGCAAACAACAAAAAGGCCCAAAAACAAAGAACTTCAGTGTGCATAATTATTCACCCCCCTGAAGTCAGTACTTTGTAGAGCCACCTTTTGCAGCAATTACAGCTGCAAGTCTCTTTTCATAAGTCTCTATGAGCTTGCCACATCTTGCAACTGGGATTTTTGCCCATTCTTCATGGCAAAACTTCTCCAGCTCCCCCAAATTGGATGGTTTCCGCTTGTGAACGGCAGTCTTCAAGTCAAACCAGAGATTTTCAATTGGATTGAGGTCCGGGCTTTGACTAGGCCATTCTAACACATTTAACTTCTTCTCCTTAAACCATTCAAGCGTAGCTTTAGCAGTATGCTTCGGGTCATTGTCCTGCTGGAAGGTGAACCTCCGTCCCAGTCGCAAATCACAGGCAGACTGAAACAGGTTTTGCTCCAGAATGTCCCTGTATTTAGCACCATCCATCTTTCCCTCTATGCGGACCAGTTTCCCAGTCCCTGCTGCTGCAAAACATCCCCACAGCATGATGCTGCCACCACCATGTTTCACTGTGGGGACGGTGTTCTTGGGGTGATGGGATGTGTTGGGTTGCCGCCAGACATAGCATTTCCCTTTGTGGCCAAAAAGTTCAATTTTAATCTCATCTGACCAGATCACCTTCCGCCATACATTTAGGGGGTCGGCCACATGCTTTTTGGCAAACTCAAAACGTGCTTTCTTGTTTTTAACACTAAGTAAAGGCTTTTTTCTGGCCACTCTTCCATAAAGCCCAGCTCTATGGAGTGTACGGCTTATTGTGGTTCTATGGACAGACACACCAGTGTTTGCTGTGGAACTCTGCAGCTCCTTCAGGGTTACCTTTGGTCTCTCTGTTGCCTCTCTAATCAATGCCCTCTTTGCCCGGTCTGTGAGTTTTGGTGGTCGGCCCTGTCTTGGCAGGTTTGTTGTGGTCCCGTGTTGTTTCCATTTGGTGATTATGGATTTGATGGTGCTCCGGGGGATCATCAAAGATGTAGATATTTTTTTATAACCCAGTCCTGACTTGTATCTCTCTATAACTTTGTCCCTGACTTGTTTGGAGAGCTCCTTGGTCTTCATGATGTGATGCTTCTTGCTAAGTGGAGTTGCAGCCCATTGGGGCCTCTCAGAAAAGGTGTGTTTATACTGACACATCATGTGACACTTTGATTGAACACAGGTGGACTTCATTTAACTAATTCTGTGACTTGTGAAGGTAATAGATTGCACTAGTGCTTTTTAAGGGGCTTCATAGCAAAGGGGGTGAATACATATGCACATGCCAATTTTCACTTTTTTATTTCTTTAAATTATTCTTTTATATATATTTTTCTCATTTCACTTCACCAACTTAGATAACTTTGTGCAGATCCATCACATGAAATTTTCAGATGAAAAACATTTAAATTACAGGTTGGAATCTAACAAAATAGTTAAAAAGCAAACGGGGGTGAATACTTTTGCAAGGCGCTGTACATCACACCACAGACTGTATGGGTTCTAGCTGCTGTGATAATGGGCCAATCACAAGCTGCATTAAGTAGAAAAATGCTTGCTGTGATTGGCTGCAGTCAACACCATTCAAATTGTCTTTTCTTTTCTAGTTCTGGGAACTGATGAAGCAGAATTCGGGGCCCCGAATTGGGCCTGGTGGGTCCCGACCTCGTCTTCAACTTTTAGACTACTTTTGCTCTTGTCCAAAATAAGTATCTTTAAAACCAAATACTCAGCAATCAAGGAATCACCGGAGACACGTAGAATCGAGTGCAACTGAGTTTAATGTGTTCACAGGCAACAACACATACAACTCAATGAGTCAAGCGCCGGAGCAGGACTGAAGTTTTGCTGTCTGTGTGCTCTCTCTTATGCTCTTCTCTTTAATCCTTCCCACATAAGCCCGAACATAATGGTGTCATACATGCACATCAGATCCTATGAGATCCTACATCCAATACAATACACCAATGAGTGTGTGTGTGTGTGTGTGCACATCGTGTGGATACATGAAACAATAAACCATGGTGTGACTGGTTATGATCAAGTAGAGTATACTGCCTGGACATGTATTTTTAAAGGTCAACTGATACTAAAGCATAAGACTAAACAGTTACATTACACTACAGAACAAAAAGAATCAATTGCAGGTACCGTTCAACTGGAGAAGTTTCCATACTACTTGCGAGGGTTAGGTAATTAATCAAACTTTATTTTCATTAACAATTTTGGCTTCCAATGATTGTAATTCATTTATTATACTGTAATTATTCACACAATTTTTTGAATTTGTTTTTCAGTTGAATTAAAGTTCAAGAAAACCCACTGTTTAAGACAACTTTTTTAGTTTAATAAATGCATAATGTTTCCAATGTCAGTGGATAGTTATGTCCAATAATCGTGATCTCAATGTCAACCAAAATAATCATGATTATGATTTTTGCTATTATCGAGCAGCCCTACTACTGTGTGTTATTTCAGTTGATACTTTGATGGTATCAAGTGCCAACACCCAGCCCTGAACACTGATGCTGCATCTTGATTGATGCCTGATGACATAGTTTGTGTATAGTGTGATTTATTTTAAAATATCACAAATAAAATGAACATTCACTCAAAACTAGGTGATTCTAGCATGCACGTCCGCATTTTAAATACTTTAATTTGTTGTATTTTTTTCAGTGTGAGTACACTACATCCTTCAAACACTGCTGTTCTCATCGGTCTTCACATATTTTTTTTTTAGTCTCTTAGACACTGGGGCCATAAAGCTGGAGTTTACAAACATTTGAAACACTCACCTCAGCAAACAGGCCAAACTTCCCCGATGAGGGCAGCATGCCGGGCAGGTATTTATTGAGGAAATCAACCAGACCACTGTCGTAACCCCACATCAGCTCCCCTACTGTCTTGGTCAGGAAGGGCCCCTCTTTGAAAGTCTTGAATGTTGCACTGATCATTAAACGCACTGCAAAGGGCATGTTTTCCATCATCACTGCTGCACCCTAAAAAAGGGATTGGAGCAAAGAAAATATAGTGAGTGAATTAACCGGAGAATGTGTGTGTGTGTGTGTGTGTGTGTGTGTGTGTGTGTGTGTTGAGATGCAGGTAAAATAATGTCTTACCAGCACCAGCATGTTTGGAATCGTGACAACATCGGACTCGTTCCCTGAAGACATGGTCGGCTCGAAGAAGTATCTTCTGTACTCCCTGTAGGACACTGTGCCGTTGGAATGAAACGTGATGTTGTCTTTCTGAATGCGTTTTCTGGAAAGGAATAGAAAATATTCAAAATTAAATCTTTAGTCCCCTCACTCTTCAGTTTCAAGTGGCTAGATTTTCATACTAAAGGGTCTCTGATCATTGTCTTCTTGCTGTCCAGCCACCGACGTCCAGATAAAAGAAGATCTGAGTCAATAAAAATATTGATACACTCATCTGAGCGGCCCTCAGTATAACCTTCGATCGCAAAACAATAACAAAAGAGGGAGCAATGCCGTCATTGCGTCAGGTTCTCCTCGTTAGGATTCAGTGTTCATTGTTCAGGAGTTTTTGATTAGGAGCTGAATTGTCCACAGAGGCCTCCTCCTCGCCAAAACAATCAGACCTGGTGATTAAAACCAATAAAAACACTAAATAAAGCAGTGTCACGTTAACAATTAGTGTTTTTCCAAAGCTGTTCAGCTCATCACGGAGGGGCTGCTAGCCCGGCCCCTGTTAATATGTCCTCATCTTTTTTCTCTGATAACTTAAGATCCAGACATTCAGAAGGTTTTTACTGGGAGCTGAATTATCTACAGAGGTCTTTTTATTTCCAAAACAAACAGACAAAGTGATTTAAACCAGTAAAAACACTGAATAAAACACTTCAACTTTAAAAATCAGTGTTTTTCCAATGCTGTTCAGCACAGCAGGAGCTGGAGCCCAGTTACTGCTCACGTTTGCTTAGCTTTTTTCTCTGATAACTTAAGATCCAGTGGCTGGTTGCACAAAACACCTTAAGTTAAGAATTTCCTTAAAGTCCTAATTAAAGTTTCCTCGAAATAAAATTGGTTGCACAAAACACCCTTAAGTCTTCTCTTTATGGTGTCCTTAAAATCTTTACTTGAGTATTTATGTTTTTTTTCCTTGTCCTAATGTTACACTTAAGGATTCCCAGGACTGTTGCACAAAAGACCTTAGCAACCAAAGCAAGGTAAGAACAAAACTTAAGGTACCTCTGACTGCAACATGACCAAGTTTAAGGTGATAAATGGAAAACACTAACACATCCCAAGTTTAATGTTCTGTGGCCAGGAAAATCCTGATGGATACACTTTTGATTTTACACTTAAGATTTGACTGAATTCATTTTCATTACAATCATTCTGGTATTTGGGGATCAAATTTACTTTAGTAGTTTGTGCTTTCTATGACTGTATTCCTCCAGAAGTATAATCTTTTCCTCCTCTGACCAGTATGGTTTTCTTGTCTTATTTGCTTCTGCCATTTTTTCCACTTTCTAACTATAAGCCAACTTTGTGAGACAATAACAGGCGTCACAAGAGTGAGTCCAAGCACACAAACAATCTCCATGGAAACTTTTATCACTGTAAAATCTCTTTCAAGGCAGTAAGCAAGTTAATGTTTTGCCTTAACTAAAGAAACCTTTTAAGGGATTCTGAGCAACTGTGTAGGTAGTTTAGCTAAGCAGAAGTTAAGCCTTAAGTGTCATACTTAAGGGGAAAACTTAAGGTCCCATGTCCAATTACTTAAAATCCTTCATCCGATTAAAATACAAAGATAAAAACAATAAAGATCTAAGAAGTGTATCGCAGAAATGTAGCTTAAAACTGGATAAAATGTCAATTTATGACAGCTTCTGATAAACAACCACAACCCTAACGCATGCGCAAAGAGGATATGACGCCACTGAAAGGTTTGAACATTGTGCTGTAATGTTTGGGATAATGTAGGTACACAAGTCAACAAAATATATAAAATTGGTTCAGCTGTTTTAACACGAATCCAATCTGACTCTCTCTTAATTTATTTTCTTTTCTTTTTATTGCTTACTGATTTTAAAAGTCTTTCCATTGCTTTCTGTTGTTTGTGTAAAGCACTTTGAATTGCTCATGTGTTTGAAATGTGGCTTAAAAATAGAGCTGCCTTGCCAAATAGTTTATTGAAAAGACGCTAGAAACTGAACACCAGTCAAACATAATATGCCGGCTATAAAGCTCAGAACCTGTGAAATAAGTAAATGTGTGTAAAGGAAACTAAGGATGATCTTGGGGGATGGGTTATTACCAATACAATGTTTATAAAACATTGCTCTTTACTGTTTTACCATTTCATTTTTTGTATTTATAACTTCATTGTGGAAAGCATTATTAGGGTCCGGGCAGCTAAGCTAGGTATTCTTCTTCTTCTTCTTTCTTCTTCTGAGGAAATCATACTTCCCATGGGTGAAAACTCACCAAACTTTGCACAAAGGTCCAGTCTCATGCCAGATATCCTCAGCTGTAAACTCAAGCCAATAGTCCTGATGGTGGCGCTACAGCAAGCGTCTAAAGTTCAAAACTTTGAAAATTCATAACAAATCAACGGTGCTGTAGCATTGTTCCGACCTCTCATTGTTCCGACCTCTCATTAGTCCCGTTGTTCCGATATGTGATTATACTAGGCTATACTGTATTTGTGTACCATAGAGATTCAGCAACGCAACAAAAGTAGGCTACTGGTCGAGATACAAGTGTCATAGAGAGGAGAGAATGAAACACCATAACCTCCTGTTATTAACTCTGGGGTCTGGGTTGTGTGGGGAGCTCTCCGCGGTGCTGAACGGCTCACGGCAGGTGTATTTCTACCTTGATGGTGCGCCGCGACCGGCTCTGGGTCAGCTGGGAAAGGCTTGAGGCGAAGCAGGCTCACGGCTTATGTGTTTGCCACTTTCTTTTTCATTTTAACCAACACCATGACCTTTTCCTGACCCTAACCAAGTGGTTTTTGTGCCTAAACCTAACCAGACCTTAACCACAGGGCATCATGATGATTTCGGAACGGACTTCGGAACAATGGGTTCAATATGGTCAAATCAGTGGGATGTCGGACGACCCCCAAATCAACCATACGTGCTACAACTTCACAACTTTCTTCAAACTGTAGCCCCAATACTGAAGAAACTTTTGTACATTTAAACCTGTTAAAAATTATGAAGTCCAAAAACTGTAAAACTTCTTAAACCTATCTCCTCCCACAATTTTTGCTCAATTGACACCAAACTTGCTACAGAGCATCTTCAGACTGTCCTACAAAAACTACGTTTCTCAGATTTTTGATTTATCAAAAATTGAGCCTACAGTGCATCAAAATGTTTGACTGTAAACGGTACTGTAAACATATACATGCAAATTCTTGCTAAATAAATCTTCAGTGTTCATGAAAAAAAGACAAAATTCTAGAGTCATGGTAGATGATGTGTGGCAAATTTCAGAATTTTATCTCAAAAACTGAATTTTTGACAGCATTTTGAATTTTGCTCTAATGTGAACAATTGGAGTCAATGTAAAAATGGCAATTTTAAACATCAGTTTTTCACTTATGGAGCAAATCAATCATTGTTACAAACAAATTACCAACATCTCCATGCTGTCTAGATGCAATATGTGTATTTTCAGATTTTTGTTTCGATAACTGAATTTTTTACAGTGGTTTGAAATCTGCTTTTCCATGCACGGATGGCTGCTAAACCTGCACGTCTGGCTTAGTCAATTTGTGAAGCTACACATGAATTGTCACTGACTAATTAGCTCAGTGAGATAGAAATTGATTCTTAGTCTCAGAGGTTGTGAGTTCAAGCCTCAGCTGATGCAAAAGGCAGATTGTGTTGCTAAATTCCTAAATGTCTTCCAGTTCTTCTGCTTGTTGCTCAGAATTGCCTAAAAATGCCCGGACCCGACCCACCACTGCGCAGCAGCTATAATTGTTTGTTAGTTTGTTGAATTCACTGTGTGTCCCCACACTTCTGAACCCAAGCCAATGCCCTTTGGCCCAAGGTACACAGAATACTACTAATGTGATGAAATGATAAAGAGGAAGAGAGATAAGATAGATAAAAGGAGAAGGAATAAACCATCCCACACACACAGTGAATGATAAATTCTCAGAAGAGCTGTGCATCAGAACTTCAGAACTTCTTCAGCACTGATCAAAATGTGTCCGTAGAAGTTACCGTACTTGCTGAATCAATTCTTTGATCAAACTATTCTTGATTCCCGTCAGACAAGTGAAGCTGTTGTTAATTGTTGTGAAGATCTGCAACACACCTCAGCAAAGCCCAGACTCCGTCTCACAGGACTCTCATGCCCCTGATGCTGATCCATTTCCTGATCCAGCCGATCAGAGTTGACTTGCCACATCTTTTTACCCTGGCAGCGGCATGCAGCAGTGACACTGTCTACCCTAATGTAAGGATCTGTTACACTTCACACGAGCATCTGTGATATCGTTGCAATAGTGTCCTGCTGGAGGCACGTACAGCCAGTAAATCATCTGTGGTGTCACCTCAATGGCACCAATTATCAAACCATCGGCAGGAAGGCGATCCAGACGCTCCGAAAAATATAGAAAACGAGGAAGGAAATATTAAAAAGCCTTTACTGTGGTGGCTAAATCATTAAATCATTGTGAGGATTTAGCCACCACAGTAAAGGCTTTTTAATATCATTTTTTAATATTTCCTTCCTCCTCTTATATTTCCTTAAAATGATTTTACGATTTAGCCACTACAATAGAGGCTTTTTAATATTTCCTTCCTTGTTTTCTATATTTTTGGAGCACCTGCAACGCCTTCATGTTGATCCTGTTGTTTCCCGTTCTCCACAAGCAACCGACACAAGATTTTGATCCACGATGGTATAAACAGAGCAACCAGTCGTGTCTGTTTTAGGAAATAAAAATAAAATATAAAAGATAGAACAGAAACCTTAAGGACAAACAAAGGCCTTAGACAACATGTGGGTCTTCAGCCTTGACATGTCTACAGAGGGGGAGCACTTAATTGAAAGGGTAAGCTGTTCCAAAGCTTTGGGGCGACTCCTCCGAACGCACGATCGCCCTTCCCCCTTAGTCTGGATCGCGGGACTGCCAGGAGCAATTGGTTTGACGATCTGAGAGATCTAGTGTTGGAGAGGGTGCAGAGGAGCTCAGTGATGTATTTGGGTGCCATACCATGTAAGGCTTTAAAAACTTGACCGGCAACATATGACTGTTAATGTTTTTTGGGGCATTTTCTTTAACAGGGCCATTTTAATGACAGTGTTTGCTTCCCCACGTGCAAAGGTTCCACTGAAACCTGTTAACCCTGGACACTATTATGCAAAAGTATTGTCGCTGAATCCTGGGCTTTGTGCCTCCCAAGACGACTGTGATTGGTTTAAAAAACAAAAACAAGCCACAGTGTTTTTCAGCAGAAAGATAACTAGCTCCTCAAAGTAGGGATAGCAAGTCAGACATGGAGTAGTCGCAGGTTCAACTTGCTCCGTATCATTTGGCATATTAGGGTGTGTCATGGCAAGTAGGACACAGAAGAAGTCAGCTGAAGTCGTGGAGCAAAGTTTAACGAGCCCTGCGTTCAAGCAGACGCTAATGGCTAATGCTAGCGCTAGCCTCCACCACCCGGACGCGGACCCTCCATCACCTACAGAGCAAACAGAGGACACGATCTTCTTCAACTAATTAAGGCAGAGATGGCCACCTCTCATCAACTACTGGGCAACGCAATCAAACAAGAGATGGCTACTTTCCATGCTGAAATCAAACATGATCTGGAGGCTCTCCGCGAGGACACCAAGGCTGACATCGCTGCTCTAAGAACGGAGTTTACAGCCGAGGTGGCGTCTTTCCGCTCAACGCAGACTGAAACGTCTACCACTATACGGGAGATGGAGAGCACACTCAATCGCCATGTTTCCAACATCAGTGAGATGCAGAGCGCCGTTTCAGACATCAAGCAGGCAGTCGATAAACTGAAAGACCGGAATGACGACTCAGAGAACAGAAGCCGCCGTCAGAATTTGAGGATTATCAGGATCCCTGAGGGCGAGGAAAATGGCAAACCTGTGGCAACGATGGCTTCGTTCTTTAATGAGGCGCTGGGCGATGAAATAACTAATGCCCTGGTGCTAGACCGTTCTCATAGGTCTTTGGTTCCAAAGTAGAGATAGCAGGTTATTGCAAACAGGGAGATTTCGATATAGCACTGGGGGAAACACTCCTTTCATTGCACCTCATTGCATTGATCTGAGAATCAGGATACACATGCAGCTTTACCACCCTTTATTTCATCCCTTTTGACTCTGACCTCACGTAATCTTGGTACTCAGTCACAGAATAGGTTGTTGCTTCATACTCCCTTTATCAGAACTGAGCTAGGGAGACTGTCATTCTCTTACAGTGCTCCTTATACATGGAATATTCAAGACAAAGGAGCTGGTGGTGGATCTGAGGAGGGCAAAGGCACCAGTGACCCCTGTTTCCATCCATGGGGTCTGTGTGGTCATTGTGGAGGACTACAGGTACCTGGGAGTGCATACAGGCAATAAACAAGAGCCCCCTCCATTTTCTCAGGAGGCTGAGGTCCTTTAACATCTGCCGGACAATGCTGAGGATTTTTTACGAGTCTGCGGTGGCCAGCGCTATCCTGTTTGCTGTTGTGTGCTGGGGCGGCAGGTTGAGGGGTAGCAGACGCCAACAGACTCTATAAACTGATTCGCAAGGTCAGTAACGTCATGGGGGGTGGAGCTGAACTCTCTGGTGGCAGTGTCAGAGAGGAGGATGCTGTCTAAGATACGCGTCACCTTGGATAATGTCTCCCACCTACTCTACGATGTGCTGGTCGGACACAGGAGCACATTCAGTGATAGACTCATTCCCCCAAGATGCACCACAGAGCGTCACAGGAAGTCATTCCTGCCTGTGGCCATCAAATTGTACAACTCCTTCCTCGGTGTGTCAGCCGCTCTGAGTCAGCAGACTGGCATTTGGACTTTTATACTATACACCGATTATCCAAAACATGAAAACCACCGACAGGTGAAGTGACAAACATTGATCTTCTTGTTACATTGCAACATTCTGTTGGAAAACCTTGGGTCCTGGAATTCGTGTGGATGCCACCTGACACGCTCCACCCACTTAAACACCAGTGCAGGTACTACCACGCCAACAGAACAATACGCCATGCCACACCACAAAAACGGCTTAGGAATGGTCCGAGGAACGAGACCAAAAGCTCAAGGCGTCAACCTGGCCTCCAAATTCCTTGGATCCCGATCTGATCAAACATCTGTAAGATGTGCTGGTACCCCACCTCACAACCCACGGGACTCAAAAGATCTGAAAGTAACACCCTGCAGCCAGACACCAAGGGACACCCTCCAGAGGTCCTGTGTCCATGCCATGACTACTCAGAGCCAAGTCCGGTCCAAGAAGGACCCACCATGGATCAAGGGTACCTGTGGGGTACCAGCACATCCCTCAGATGTTCAATCAGAATGGGATCTGGGGTATTTGGAGGCCAAGTCAACACCTTGAGCTCTTTGTCCCATTCCTGGGGTCATTCCTGAGCAGTTCTTGTGGTGTGGCATGGTGCATTGTCCTGCTGGGGGAGCCACGGCTATCGACCTGTCCCGTTGCCATGAGGGGGTTTACTTGGTCTGCAACTGTGTTGGGGTGCGTGGTGCACATCAAGTACTATCCGCATGAATGCCAGGACCCAAGGTTACCCAACAGAACATTACATTCTAAGATGATCAATGTTATTCACTTCACCCACCAGTGGTTTTAAGCCTCAGCACAGTGACGATATAAATTTTATTTGGTTCTTATTTAAATTTTTATATCTTAAGATCTTATGATGGTTGTTTGTTTGCTTACTGATTGTTTAAAATGTCTTTGTTCAAACTCTGCATCATTGAAAATGAGGGTCTCCCTTAATTAATTTCCTGAGTCTTAAATAAAGGTTTGAATGAAAAACAATAAATTTCAAAAAGAGTCTTCATCACATAAACATGACGGACGTCTCTGACCTTATTAAGAGGCTATTACAGCACACATTACGAAAGACACCACTGACCTTAAAAGATTAGATAAGTGTTCTGAACACAAAATGTGAAGACATTTATTTGACCTCTGAACTCTTAACATTTTTTCTGATTTACCAATTTTCTAAAAGATAAGATATTCTACTTATCTGTAATTGTCAATTAGACGGCAAAAACAACTGTGAATGTAACCACTAACAAGCGCTTTGTGTGTATTGTCTTCCTCTGCGCCATAGAGCACCACTGTTGTCCAAAAACTGTACTTGATTTTGACTTAATCCCAGAAACAATGTGGATTAGTACGCTGCTGAAAATAGTCCCCAACAACTGTACTATTTCCTGCTGTTGTGAGGTGTTTTTAAAGGTTTACATCTCCAGCATGAACCGCTAGACTCAGAGCTGAGAGCCACAGACAGGAGCCATAAACAACACACTTATTTGCGGCTTTGTTCCTTTGATCACAGGAAATAATCTCAGCTCTAAATTACTCAGAGGTGAGCATGGGTGCAGAAAGTGACAAGTAAGCAAGAATCACTGGCATTATGAAATCGCTGTGCCCCTGCTAGGACTTCTTTACATCACTCTGTTATTACACCAAAAACTAGGTCAATGCATGCATGCTGGCATGTCCTTTTTAGGTTCAACCCCCTGCACTCCCCCTGAAGTTGTACACATGGAATAGTTACATAACAGTGTTTGGACTGCATCCCTCCATTTTGCTGGAAAAGTTCAATTACACACACTTGCAGAATGACCTACATCTTGTATGTAGTGTACATAGTGTTCCCAAAAGTGAGCCAGTTGGATGTAAAGACACAGCTGCACGTTATTAAATCAGTAGTGTCAGTCTGTCTGGCAGCAATTTTATATTATGCAACAAAACTGGAGACAGATAGCCTCAGATTACATCAAGATAATTTAAAAATTGAAGACAATTAGTCCTATTCGACAAATTATGTCACCAAAGCAGAGACAGTGACCTGGGACTGAATCTTGCAACATGTTGCAGGTCAAGGTGTCCTGATGGGCAAATGCAAGCCAGCAGACATGTACGCATGGATTATGGGTCAGCATGTGCTCTCAGGGGGGAATAACATGTTGATTTAGAGTGTGTACCTGTATACGTAGGGTCCTTTCTGTTCCACCATGGGCTTCTCTCCCTTCAGTATCTCTTTAGGGTTGAGGACGTTGAAGAAATAGACAGACATGTAGAATGGCACAGGGACGTCCTTCCACATGGTGTAGGACATCTTGTTCTTCGGGTCAATCACTGTGTTCTGACATGAGACAGAGAGGGGAAAAGGAAATATATTATTTTCATTATCGGTTGATGTGGCATTTGTTGTTTTATGGGTATGTTTTCTCACAAAATGCCAGAAGATATAGAAAAATTTAAATCTTCGTCTTCAAATTGATTGTTCTGTCCCAACAACTCAAGATGTTCCAATACCATTTATCCCTTCCCGATACCCGAACTTGCATTTCAGCTGACACTGAGTACCAATCCAATACCACTGCATTGAATATTTCTTAACAACTCTCTCCTACCAACCCTATATGGATGTTAAATGATAGCACTATATGTTGTATGGCATGGTTCAGGTCAGTGGTGTAAGGTAGTTACAACGGGCCCCCAGTGCACGCTATCATGCCCATATCGTCTCGTCACATGGTCAGAGACCAGACATTGGATAACATCAATATACTTATTACACTGCAATCAACATTGCATATCTGTACATAACAAAAAATACCAAAGAAAATATGAAATTAACAAATTATCGAAACTAAAGCCTTGCATACTGTACATGTTGACTTTTTACTGGTGGGACTTTCCCGTGCAGATATTTCCATTGATGAGGTTTTTCTGTATGCCGTTGCAGACGTTAGCATCACACTAGTTTCCTCGGCAACAAGCCTATGGGATTTTTCCATTGGATTTTGGATTATTGCCGAAAATAAGCTCTGTGGCAAACAAACCTTAATGATACTTACACGTTTTGTCCAGCAAGATAATCTTCACAAATGAACACAACTTTTATAATTATTAAGACCTCAATGCAATCGCCAGAAGTAAAAAGCTAACGCTAGGCTATAAACAAACTACACCACGGTCGCCTGACTTCAACATCACCTCCATAACAAGACTGTAAAGCTGTGTTTGGCATGATGACATTCTGTAGTCTTATTTAGCAACTTCTTGGCAATTGCCTTTTGTAAGACACATAAAAAGCTTCAAAGTTCACGAGTGGGGTATTTACTGGGTGTATTTTATGTCATAGAACAAAACGTGAAAGTCTCATGAGCATGTTAATCTTAGACCTTATTTCAGGGATCTAATCAAAAACCCATCGACTTTGAGATGAGGAAACCAGGAGTGGTAAAATGCTAGCTCATTTTCAGGTTTTAGGACTCATTCCTGGGGTACTTTTTTTATTACTTTACTTATTGCTGGAGTCTATCCCAGCTGACATGGGGCGAGGGGAGGGGTACACCCTGGACAGGTCCCCAAACTATCACAGGACTGACGCATGGAGACAGACAACCATTCACACTTATGGGCAATTTAGAGTCACCAGTTAACCTGCATGTCTTTGGACTGGACCACAACTGACAGCTCTACCACCAGCGGTCCACAGCCCACAATTAAATTAAGTTTACTATCATGCATGTCAAAGAAAAGCATGAAATCTTCACATTTAAGAACCAGCAGGTGTTTGGTGCCTTTGGTTAAAAAAATGAAATGATTAATTGTTTTTGAATGACTTATCCACCTGAGCAGACTGACATTAACATGATTTTTTAAACATCATTTCAGGTGTTTCCCCACTTAGAGACCTTCAGTGACTCCGCCTGGTGTTACCTATTGTGTAGATCACGTATTGTGTACATTGTTTGTCCCAGTTGGGAAACCAGTTTCCCCTTTGGGGATTAGTCCAGTTTATCTTATCCTGTCCCAAACAATATATACACATATATTCTGTACTGTAGTTAACATGCACACCTGGATTACATGATCATGCCAGACAAGTCCTTGAGATTTATTACAAACACTTTGTCCATGACCTTTGCTTTAATATTCGAGTTAATCTCCCTTCACGTGGTTTAATTCAACCTGGTCTCAATCCCAACTCGTCAAATTGAGACGCTTTGTCAGTAGCCTGTCAGCGTCAGATACTGACGCACCAAGGCACCCCTTAGCAGGGGTATGACACGCATCTGGAGTTGGTATTTTTTGATGTTCAGTGCATCTTCCGTAGTATAAACAGCTAGAGGGTTCACATAGGATGGGCAGGAGGGGAGGTGGGTCAACCAAACCTAGGACTTTCACTCAGGAGACCGCTGTTTGTGTCTCATGTGAAACCTAAAGTCAGTCGAGTTTTTTTTAGTATGTAACGTATGTGTAGCACACTACGCTAATGATGTATGTCACGTGATGTTACATGATGTTAGTAACAAGTATTGGGGACCTACTCACTAGTAGTACCCTATGAACACTGAAGGCAGCTGCGCCAAAAAACGGAGACTAGCGCTGCTCCAGTGACAGAGCAGCGGTGTGTCAAACATAAGGTGGCAGAGGAAGAAATGACGTAAGTTAACCAACCAAAAACACTGGGGATAAGCAAATGTACATGGTATGATCAATGTCAATTTTTACACCCCAGTTTCACAGTACACCACTACATCCCTTCACAGGGATACATTGCCTTTTCACTGCGGTAAGATAAGATGAATACCATTATCGTCCTACATGCAGCTCCACTTTTATTGTCTAACCAACAGTCTAAAACTTGAAAATATCAAATATTAAATTATATAAAACAGAGAAAAGCAGCAAATCTATATAACTATAGATAGCAGGCTGACTTAGTTACTCAAGTACTTGAGTACAAAAGTAGCTCTTTTTTTACAAGCTAGTCACAAATTGCCTCTGTAAAAGGTGTTAATGTGACATAATATTAAACATTTCAATATGAATACACGCCATTAAAGTAATCCTTTTTCAATTGAGTGATGCTACTCAAGATTTTAATGTATGAAAATTTTGTTGGGCCATAACAGCAGTGTTATTTCTGCCCTTTTAAAAAATCTAAAAACTAGTTAAAAGCTACAGCGTAACTAAAATATATTAAGCTGAGTGAAAGCAGGAATATCTGACGTTAGGATACACAACAAGTATATGACACGCCCCACATATACTGCATGCATGCATATCAGAGGTGGAAGAAGTACTGAGATTCTCTGCTTAACTTAAAATAGAAGATAAGATAAGATAAGATAAGATAATCCTTAATTGGTTCCACAGTGGGGAAATGTGCAACATTACAGCAGCAGAGGGACAGAGTGCAAACAAGAAGCTTTAGTAGAAAAAAAATACAACGCAATACTTTAGTACATAAAATAAGTTACCTATACAAAAACAAAGAGCCATATAATAAGCAAACAGTATAAAGACACAAAGCAATATAATAAGGAAGCAGAATATAATAAAGAGACAGACTGGATGTCTGATTTCACATTACTGACAGATAGAAGTACAGATATTGTACAGTATACCATGGTCTAAAGTCCTGATTTTAAAATGTGACTTGAGGAAAAACTACTAAAGTATTTCCAGTTAAAATGTACTTGAAGTAAAAGCAAAGGTACTCATTATGAAAATAAAATAAAATCATATTTTTTTCTGTTTTAAAGAGAAGAAATGTATTAAAAAACCAGGTAAACATATTGCATTATACATTTTTTGTATATTTTCTATATTTATATGTTTTTATATATTTATAATTTTCGTTTTGTATTATTATATTTTATTGTTTTATTTATTATGTTATTTAATTTATTTTTTTATCTAATTTTATTTATTGTTTTTCTTTTTTTTCTGTTTTTAGGAGCATTTTAATGTTGAAGTTAGTCAGTTTGGAGCCAACTTTTATATACTTTGTAGCCTATACTACTGGGTAGGTTATAGTAGACATATTTTAAGCAGGAATCTTTAGTGGAAAAAATACAAAGCAGTATATAATTACATAAAATAAGTAAAGTGGTCTATAAAGTCCTGAATTCAAAATGCTACTCGAGAAAAAGTACATAAGTATTTGCAGAAAAAAATGTATAAAAAAACATGTATACATATTGCATTATAAAATTGTATAAAGATGTTTTATATACATTTATTTTAGATATTTAGTTTTGATTATTATTAATCATATTTTTCATTTTATTTTATCTATTTTTTTTCTGTTTTTAAGATCATTTTAATGTTGTAGTTGGTCAGTTTGGAGCCAATTTTAGACACTTTGCAGCCTATACTACTGGATATATTATAGTTCTGCATCATATTAAAGAAGCAAATCAAACATTTTATATTTTTTTTAAAATACGTACAAGTGTCAAATAAATGTATTGGAATAAAAGATATATTTTTCTCTGGGATAAAGTGAAGTATTAGTGTGCATAAAATGGAAGTACTCAAAGTACAAGTGGGGCAAAGCAGTATGTGGGTATAAGAAATTATTCCAGCTCTGATACATACACACATATTCATGCTTTACTTTAGCACAGCCTTATGGGAGCACTCCATCATTACATTTCACTGCACATACTGCTCTGTGAATGCAACAAACCCCTTTTAATTCTACATCTTTAATTGACAGCAACAGAAGTCCATTGACATTATTGCTTATTATAGGTTTGTTTGCGTGCGCGCGCCTTTTATCATGTCGTGTTGTCCTCACGTGGCAGTGTGAAGCCCTTTGAGACTTTCGGCTGTGATTAAAATAAACTTGACTCAGCAAATTAAAACACAAGACAAACATCTGTGTCAGCTCGCTGCTTACCTTCACTATCTGATCATCGATGATTATGGGTCCCACAAAAGTCAGCAGCGTCCCAAAGAACACCGTGAGGACCCCCGCCACTATGAACCCGATAGCCACTTTGGATTTATCGATAGCCATGGCTGGTTATTGATAGCTGACAGCCAAGTGTTTGGAGCTTGTTTACGTTGTTGACGAGCCAAACTGCCAAACGGCTACACAAAGTAAGCAAACTGTGAATGAGTACAGCAGCGTGTGAACATTAAACACTCAGCTGTTTCGTTTATAAATGTCAGCCTCCGCTCCTGCCGGCTTTTTAATCTCTCTGATCGATGTAGTTGACCTGCTCCTATTGTCGCTGTATTTATAGTCTGTTGGTCACGCCCCCCGCCGCGAGCCGAGCATTCTGGGAGGTGTAGTTCCAGGTCATTACACACTTTAACACACAGACTTTACCCCATTATATCACAGAGGTGAAAGAAGGCTGTTTATATAAGTGAAAGCAGCGACACAATCCTGAAAAATAAAAAGTTACAAGTATAAAAACATGCGTTAAATCCTACTGAAACACAAGTAACAGAAATATGAACATAATATACTGTCTCCTGTGACTGATATCTGATTCTGTTACACCCTAAATATACTACAGTTTTTACCCGTGTGCCATCAAATACATCAAATATAAAATAATCTTGCTCTTCAAGTGCAATCCACTACTAATTGGTGCAGTGGTTCCCAACTGGTGGGTCGTAGTCCAAAAGTTAGCCTCGCGTCACCAGGCTCTTAAAGCGAAGAGCCTGGTGTCTAGTCACTCTGAATTTGTCTGGATTCTGGTTCCGGTCTAGGGAGTGGATGCGGTATTCACCAAATTCACCAAACTAAAAGTGTTCACCATAGTAAAACTTTAAATTCTGGCGCACCATCAATTTGGGGTGATGAGGGGTGCAAGAAAATCGATTAACTTAATGGCTTGGGGCTTTTCTTGTAAATTATATTCTTTAAATTAAAAGTTTCACCGCATTTTTATTAGCTTGGTGCTTTTATTTTTACGGAAAGGCGCATCCATTGAATTCTGGATCCTGTCTCACTCGCCCTGGTTCCGTTTCCTTACCAAAACAGCCACTAACGGCCCCAGACTATCCAAAAGTAGGTAGCACAGTTCCAGCACAGAGCTTTTATTTTGAAGTGGCGTTTTCTGCTGTAGACTGAGTGACTGACCAGCAATCCAGCTCAACGACATGACCAAATGCAAGTATGACACTGAATGTGAAACTGTGGGACCAAAAGCTAATGACGAAGCAGAAATCTGGACCTTGTGGCTGCACCATTTGGGAACCACTGCTCTATTGCAACCTGCTATTCATCTTGATACAGCCTTTTTTATACACTGTTTACTTCCTGTTTTATGAACAATTATGTTGTCTGTTTTTCTTACTTGTTTGTTTTAAAGGGATAGTGCACCCAAAAATGAAAATTCAGCCATTATCTACTCACCCATATGCCAATGGAGGCTCAGGTGAAGTTTTAGAGTCCTCACATCCCTTGCGGAGATCCAAGGGGAGAGGAGGTAGCAACACAACTCCACCTAATGGAGGCTGACGGCGCCCCAGATTCAAACATCCAAAAACACTTAATTGAAACCACAAAATATTTCCATACTGCTCGTCTGTATTGATCCAAGTGTCCTGAAGCCCCGACATAAAAAGTTGTTTGGAAAAACAGAGACCAGCGAAAGCACGTGAACACATGTCAGCACAGTGCACAGAGAGGCAATTAGAGCTACAGATTACAACGAGGCTAAAAACAGAGTTCAAATGACGTTTTTCCAAACAACTTTTTATGTCGGGGCTTCAGGACACATTGGCTCAATCCTAATTCTCATTTTTACCCCTACCCCTTCGTCTAGCCCTTGCCCCTCAAAATGGAGTGCCAAGGGCTAGGGGTGAAGATATTCCCCTAAGAAATGGGACAGCACTCGATTACCGCTACGTCATCAAACGCTTTCGCTAGCTGGCTGCTACGTCAGCAGAGGCGACAAGTGTTTATCACAAACATTCAAAATGCCGTCTGCAAACGTTGTAATGTCCATTGCTTGGGTTTTAGTGTTATTTCTGCGGCTGTCCACAAGTCACAGAAATCAAAGGAGGAGAAGATATCTTCTACATACAAGTGCTGATGGACCAGTTTTTGGTATGTATGGATTGGCTGTAAATAGATGTTTTGTTGTATTTAACGTTAACCGAGCTAATCAACGCTAACGTTAGCTAACGAGCTTACCTAAACATGTGTAAACATTCGTGTATACATTTATAGCTCGCTTTGGCTGCTCGTTGCGCCATTTTGCCAGTGTTCGCACTTAACTGTGGGAAAATTCCATGTACCCCTTTGTTGCTAGTGTGGTCCGGGAAAATCTTCGTTTTAAGGGCTATTTGGCCCTAGCCCTTGGCACTCGCTCTCGATCCACAGGAGAATTTGGATACCCCTTCCCCTCACGTGAACGCGCAAAACTAAGGGGTAGGGCTAAGGGGTGGAATTGGGATTGAGCCTTGGATCACTACGGACGAGCAGTATGGAGATATTCTATTGTTTCAATTATGTGTTTTTGGACGTTTGAATCTGGGGCACCGTCAGCCTCCATTAGGTGGAGTTGTGTTGCTACCCCCTCTCCCCTTGGATCTCCTCAAGTGTTGTGAGGACTCTAAAACTTCACCTGAGCCTCCATTGGCATATGGGTGAGTAGATAATGGCTGAATTTTCATTTTTGGGTGCACTATCCCTTTAATGACTATGCACTTGATCAGGTGTTGCACTCCTAATCTCGTTGTTTAGTCTTTGTACAGTGACAATAAAGGCTTTCTATTCTATTCTGTTTTAATCTAAAGCGTCAGTGTTAGTGCAGCATGTTGCTGATGTAGCTGCTCCAGGTGGAGCTAGTGTGCACTACTTCATATACAGTGTTGGAGAGTAACTAGTTACATGTAATGGAGTTGTGTAAATAAAATTACAAAATAAATGTAACTGTAATCAGTTAGAGTTACTGACAAACAAATGTAATCAAATAACAGTAACTAATCAACATGTTGATGATTACCAAAGGGTTACATCTGAATATATTAATTTCAGTAGAAAGCTTATATGTGGACTATAACATAATGTATAGAGTCCAGAGACATGCAGGTTAGATCACTTAGTGACTCTAAATTACCCGTAGGTGTGAATGCATACTTGATCTGATTACTTAGTTTGACTGCAGTTCACAAGCAATGATTGACAGCTGTGTTAGAGACCGCTCTGCTCTGATTGGTTGCTTTCGTTCAGCCACAGACTTATTCTAGCAAATATCATTAAAAGGACAAACAAAACGTCTCTCTAGACATCTGAAACAGGGCAAAGGACCCAAACCAGACACTGTTGTGATGTAACGTATCACAGGCCAATGGGGTGTGAATCACTGGTTTAATGTTTAACACTGTGTTTTATTCCACAAGCACGTGTTTATAATATAAAATCTTTATCTGCCAATACACTTTAGCTGTCAAAGAAATATAGTGGAGAAAGAAATAATAATATTTCCCTCAAAAATGTAGTGGAGTGGAAGGTTTTTTGGACATAAAACAGCCTGTGAATGGTTCCAATTTGAAGTCTTTCAGCACAAGACTGTAAATTATAACAGTTATTGCAGGAAAATACTGAGAGCATTGAGTCTGAAGTCACAGTAGCCTTATTTTGTTTAAAATTTCAAAATAGATGACTATAAATCTGAATAAATTGCCTTTGTTTTTAAGTGTTGCCAAGTTTTACTCCTTTTGATTGCGCTGATGAACAGAAGGATATCCTCTGACTTTCACATGGAAAGGAGGTGCTTGAGGGGAGGGGCAAGGACAGCGTATAGGTTACATATGATCTGCACACTGATGTAGCCGAACACTGACAGTTACGGAAGCGTATTGCATTCACTTGACAAATAAAAAAAGCCCTGTTTTTCTGAGAATTTTTTTCTGTAATTCATTTATTTTTCTGTTTTTTGGTATAATTTTTTCCCTGTTTTTCGTGGTAATTTTTTTCTGTTTTTCGTGGTAATTTTTTTTCCTGAATGAGGAGACGAGATACTAGATATGAGATATCTCGCGAGAAGCTCCCACCTGGCACCTGCAAGTGACCGGTGCCTGCGTAAAGTCGACAAACTAATGATAACACCATCTATATGACTTAAAGACAAGAGTATCTCCCAGTGTCTCAAACCCAAAACAAAGTAAAACTGGATTAAACTAAACAAGCGGGTCATGTTTGCTTCCATCATATCGAGCTCTCAAGAAAGGAATGAAAGCATCTGTTGTTTTATTGCTCTCTTAACTCAGAAAAAAATACTCAGAAAAACAGAGAAAATTACCCCGAAAAAAAAGAAAAACCATGAAAAACAGAAACAAAATTACCAGGAAAAACAGAACAATAAAAAAAAAACTCCAAAAACAGAACAATAAAAAAATTACACAGAAAAACAGAAAAATAAAAAAAATACTCAGAGACACAGAAAAATAAAAAAATACTCCAAAAACAGAACAATAAAAAAATTACACAGAAAAACAGAAAAATAAAAAAATTACACAGAAAAACAGAAAAAAATACTCAATAAAACAGATTTTTTTTGTGTGTCAAGTGAATGCAATATGCTTCCGAAGACAGTAGGTTTTCATACTGAAAATAAAATTTGGCATTGAAATGAATGATTGGCAGTGAAAAACAGTTACACTGAAAAATAAAACAGAGGCATAAAAATTATTTTACTTTGTTTGGATTTTTTTTTAGTTTTTTTTCATGTTTTCTTCATGTCATTATTTTCTCAGAGTACATTTTTCCACACTTTATTTAATTTATTTTAATTTTATTTTTTATTTTTTTATTTGACATACTGTCGCCGTTTTTGCAGGGATAGGAGGCGTCTAAGGGGAGGAGCAAGGCCAGTTTAATTTACATATAATCTGCATACAGAGAGAATACATCTCCTCGAGACCTCCAGTTAGTTCGTCAGGGGTGACATGTATTTTTTGTTGTTGTTTTTAAATCGGACTATAGGCCTTATTGAAAAAAAAATCAGAATGCAAAAGAAACATTAAAAATTAATTAAAAAAAAATAAACACCTGTATTTTATTTCAGTACACCTTCTTTCAGCGCCAGTCTTTCCTTCAAAGCCAAATTTTATTTCTAATGCTAAAACTTACCGTCACTGTTCCAGCTTCATAAGCTAGATCAAAGTTTGCAGTGAACTCCGAGTTGCATTTGGTCTGTGCCTGAAACCCACCAGCTGTGCCACCTGCATAGATTTTATACACTGTGTGTGTAAATCAGAGGC